CTATGGCAAATTTTGAGGTCACTGCAACACCCCCCCCCCAGCGCAGCTTCAGCCCAGCCACTCTACTGGGAAGAGGCCGGCACAGTCCCTGGCCCTGAAGCAGGCAGTCCACCCTCACCCTGTGTATAAATCTGGGGGCCACATGCCCCCCATTCTTCCCCAGGGGTGCATACAGCAGCAGGAGCCACCCGCCTCCTCCCCTGCCCCCCTCGGGCAAGCCACCCACAGCTCTGTCCCATATTCCATCACGGCTGGGCAGCGCCTACCCCTGCCCCAGCCACCATTCCCCCTCCCTCATGACAGGGGTCTCCATCTACACCCCCCACGACCCTTCCCCCCACAGACTTACTGGCCAGACACTGCTTTCCAAACTTCCAGGCTGTATACTGGCAATCAGATCAGTATCAGCTGACATGGCTGGGTTAATAAACTGGCCAAAAAAATATTTAATCGGTGCACCCCTAACCTTTAGTTAATTCATATGCATCTTCCCGAGTATCACTATGCACACAAGTCCTAAAAACACCTTTATGATTCACTTTAGAAAAGGATTAAACTAAACCACATGAAGACATTCCTACCATAGAACTTGTACATCACATAGGCATGCATTGGTTTCCGCAATTTAAATTCAGTTTCCATTATTTCACAATGACTACCCCTAAATCAGAAGAGGGCAAAATATGGCCTATGGGGCCCTCCAAGAGATCCAGCCTGCAGGGCCCTCCAAAAAACTTGTTACCAGCTCATGGCTGACCCTCTGAAAGCTGACAGGATGCACAGGCTTTCAGAGGTCACATGCCATTGGACTAGGCAGACTACTTCCACTTCCATGGGGCTCCCAGCACTCCAGCTGGGAGCCTCATGTGGAGGTACCAAGCACAGTGGCATACAACTGGATAGGTGCCCAGTGGAGAAGGGAGCTCCTGCCTGCAGGACAGGGGTGGGTGGGTGTGGGACTCTCACCATGGTGCACAGCCCCTGCCATCATTATCAGCAGCAGCAGGCAGTAGGCCCTCAGGGGGCTCATGGCTGCAGCAGGCAGTCTCCCAGCAGTATGCAGATCTGGCTGAGTCCCAAGGGCTGCACATGGTAGCAAAGAGCTGGCCCCACTGGTGGGCTGGCTCCATGCCAGCATGTGGGGCTTACAGCATGGCAGGCAGGAGCTGTGCACCATCGGGCTAGGTCAAGCCGGTTCCATGACTCCATGTGGGGCTTCCAGAATGTGGAGGCACAGAGCTGGCCTGGCCGGATGACACGCAGCTCCCACTTGCAATGCCACGAGCCCCACGTGCTTGCACAGATCCAGCCCAGTCTGGCTTGAATATACATGCCAGCAGGCTGGGCCAGCTCTATGCTGCCACATGCAGCCCCCAGGACTCAGCCAGAGCTGCATGTTGCCAGGGGGCTTTTCCTGCCACAGCCAAGAGTGCCTCAAGGGCCTGCTGCCACCGCTGGCAGCAAGGGCTGGGCAACAGGGGCATACATAATGGTGGAGGGGACCTGCTGCTGGGGGCTGTTCACAGGAGGCTGTTCACAGGAGGCCCACACCCACAGACCCTCCCCACCACAAAACCCACACATTCCTATACCACCATCCCCAACAAGCCCCACACACAAATGCCCCTCCCCCCCACAATATACAAGAGTAAGCCTTTATTTTGAGCTATTACACAATCACCTCTACATACACTATGCAAACACAGGTCAATCAGGACAAAAATATTTTCTTGAAATAAAATTAGAATATGTATAGTAGAAGTTTGATTTTTAGTATACGATTGTTTTTTCCAGTTCCAAGACTGCAAACCCCCTTCCAAAAGAGTACTTCAGGGGGAAAGGGAGAGGCTTCTGGTGGCAAAGTTCAGGAGTTAGGAGGTGGGACTTCCGGTCCCAAGGTGATCAGGAGGTATGACACCCATCAAGATGCCTAATATCTTTGCAGCCCTCAACAGATCACCAGGAGTTGTTAAGCAGCCCTCCAGCAAAAATAATTGCCTGCCCCTGCCCTAAATTATCTTTTAGAACATCAGGTTAGGGAGTGTTTTTTGTGCTACCACCTTCTCTCCATGCTACCACCTTCTCGCCATATTTTTGATTTTTGACGGTTGTTGTTTTGATTCTACCAGCCTACTTTGCTCTCTATGCCCCAGGTCTTCATTCAGTGCCCCAGGTCAACACAAATACTAAAGAAGCTAAAAGATGACCAGAATAAAACAAAACCAAACCAAAAAAGGGGGGAGCAAAGGTAATTGTGTCCCCTCAATGCTTCATGTCATTAAAGAGAAAGGTGTAGGCCCACATCCTTTCATGTCAAATATCATGGAAACTACCAAAGGCCACTCACAGAGCTCAAGCAATGAATCTCAAACAAATGCAACTTTTTACTAGTTATTCCTCATGCTTTTTACTAGGTAGAAACATAGTGATACTTATCAATCCCCCCACCCCGTGTACTGCAAATAGCATATGGAACATCCACAAGCACAACTTGGTCGCTGATGTCAACATTTTCAACTTTTTTATTGGAAGGATAAAACAGATTCAGACACACTGTTCACGTAAATAGGTTTCTTTATGTAATCAAGGGCTTAAGGCAGGGGCGGGCAATTATTTTGGGCAGAGGGCCGCTTACTGAGTTTTGACAAGCCAATGGCCGCATGACAGGCAGCCCAGGGCAGATAAATATTATTTTTTTACATTTTTTAGGGGCCCCTAGGGCTGGACAGAATGGCCTGGCGGGCTGCATCCAGGCCTTGGGCTGCATTTTGAATGCAGAGCGGCAGCAGCCACCGCATGCTAGCTTCCCCTGCGCCTCCGTGTACGGCCAGGTGGGTGGCGCCTGCGCAGCAGTATGGGATAATGTGTGGTGGTGCTCTGTCCCCGCCCGCCAACACATACTCCCTAGTGCTTTCTCAAGTACCCCTATTGACAACCCCTACTGTAGGGTGTTCAGGCACATGCAGGTTTAATCACTAAAGAATAAGCCTAACTATCAGGGGCTATACTGTTTGTTAAAGTTTATTCTCTACCACAGATAGGGCTGCATACAGCTACTTATGGATAAAGTATTCTCTATTAGCACCAAGATCAAAAAACTTTGAAACTATTTCATAGGACTTTTTAATGGGTTACACTTCACTGGAAGCAAGATCCCGTTACCAATATTATGGGTGTAGTGCAAAGGTGGCCAACCTGTGGTACTCATGCCACAACAGCCTGTCCATGCGGCATATGGCAGGCTGTGGGAAGATAGGCAGTAAAGTGGCTGACAGGGCAGGGAACAGAAAGCACAGGAGAAGAATGGGGAAAAGGAAGATAATTAGATTGGGACCTGGGAAGGGTACATGGTCAATTTGTGGCATACCTGCCAAAAAGGTTTGACCCTCAGTGCTATAGTAGTGTACTATGCCTGCTCCTTCCGTTCCCTGCCCTCCCTAGCCCCCCCAACTTAAATGAATTTATCCATGGATACATTTTTTTAAATTCTGTTTAATGTTCTGGACACATGGAAAGTTGCCTGAAAACTTCTACTTTACAAGTCATGTAACAGAAAAGAGATCTTCTATTCTGATGCCCACTTTAATCCTGTTACCACCGCAGCCTCTTGGATAAAGGAAAAGACAGTTACACATTACAACAGTTGTGGTTCTTTTTCTATACAGATCCATGCTTTAGCTTAGTAGGGCTAAACCATTTCCCCCCAGTGGGCTAGATGGACAGTGCTGGTCCCTTTGTGGGCTGGACCTGGCTTGGGGCCCTGATCCGTTGCCCAGGCTGGCACAGTGGGTCCCATGAAGGGGGAGAAAAAGAGGCTTGGGAAAGGGGCAGCAGGAGAGGGTGGCAGTATTAATGGCCACTACTCCCCCACCACCCAATTTCCTGACTCCTGGGGAGCCCCGCAGGCCAGATGCCATGGCTCCGCAGACCAGCTGGAGATTGTGCACCCCTGCTCTAGATGTATAAGCACCTTAGAACTTCTAGACAGAACTGCCTAGAAAGGATGCCTGCACCCCATGTTGTTACATCCCCCCAAACAAGAATAAATGAGAATACAGCTCTACTTACCACTGAGTTCAGTGAGAAAAGTGAAAATGGGCACACTTAAAAACTGAGGTCTAGAATTTTCCTTTTCACATATTAAATTACATTAGCATTTTACTGTTAAGACTTTGCTATTTTAAAATCAATGGAAAAAATCCCGAGATCCCAAGCAGAATTTCCTCCTTAATGTACATCAACAAAAAAGATTCTGGGGGAAAAACTTAAAGAATACTTGGAAGACCTCTCCCCTAACAGGGCGAGATCTTGACATTTGTTAAGTCTCAGAGGAAGTCCTTAGGGGGTCATGGCACCAGGAGGCTGCAATGCTGACTGAATATGGGTTGAAGGGGCAGACTCGGGTCCCTCTGTCCCATGAGATACAACAGCAACAGAATCAAAACAGGCAGAGATTATTCCCTTTCCTTAGAGTACCCCGACTGGTGATTTCTGCGCGGCATATTCCTAACAAAATCCTGTATCACTGCTTGCTACCATGAAAGATTTAAAAAATTAAACTGGCTGCCAGGGAGAATGAAGAATGAGGCTGTCTGCTAAGCACCACTGCAGGGACCAGCAAAAGCTGGGGACAACTGCCCAAATTAAATGCCTAACAGGGTGAGGACAAGGCACAAGGCCTTCTCCCATTATCAAATTAAGATAAAGATAAGAAACTTTATCCCTGCAATTTGTTGGTCTCTGCAAGCCATCCAGAACAAACATCTTTGAAAAAGGTAAACAGTACAAGAAAGAGCAGCTTTCTCGGCCAAAGTAGTCACCTGAACATCTGATAAGTTACTCACTTGTACTGATGTGGGGGTACTGAATTCTCTTCCCTGCTCT